AAGCCACATGAGAACCACCTCTGTGTGTGGCAGCCCAGGGAGCAGCTCGTGACTCGTTCAGCTGGGCTGACTTCTCAGCAGAGATTGTCTTAATCACAAGCTGTACAATGTCTCTTGCCCAGATTTGCAGAGGATTTGGCTTTATAGAACAGGGTCCCAATTCATAAAGCTCCTTCCTCCGCCTCTCACTCCTGCTCTCTCTTATTGGCCAAATCCAGGACGCTGCCTGAGTCCCTCTCTGGCTCCTGGGTCTGACCATGTGCCCAGTCTGAGCCCTCAGACAATGTTGTACATGTCCTGGTCTGCATGAGAGAGGCCTGGGTGGAGGGATGGAAACCAGAGGAGTAGTAATGCTTGTGGCAAGTCAGACTGCTGTGTTTGGCTTGGCATGATGTTGCTGGTCCCCCAGAATTTGGCAAAGGGATCTCTGAATTCAAAATAATTAAAAAAGCTGTCCCAGAACTGCCAGGATGAGGGGATTTTGGCTGTCTCTCTGCACTCAGCATGGCTGAACATCCCCCTCCTGTCATTAGCAGTAACCCCTTGTACTCACCCACCTGCAGGTCCCACTGCTGAGTGTGAGCCTTCCTTCCATGGCCCCTCCCTTTGGCACAGCAGGGACACAGTGCCCATGCGTTTCTCCTGCCTCAGGAAGTCTTGACCTGCCTGACCTGCTGGCCACTCATGAGTGACTTCTTGGAGCTGGAGAGAAGCAGCAGTGATTTACCACAGTGGTGGGAAACCCCCTCAGACCAGAGCCTACCTCTGTGCTGTAATTCCTTGTGCCTCCCCATCATGGGATCCAGCATATGCAGGCATCTCTCTCCCTGCTCTCTTCTGCTGCAAGCAAGTCCTGTGTCACTTCAGAAATCATCTGTGAGATCATCAATGAAATATTTATTTCCCTTGCATGCAAGAGAAAAGGGAGCAAAAGGCCTGCATAATATTGATGGAATCCTTGATAGCCAAATATTGAATTATTTACAGCCTAATTGTGCAACTGACACTCATGAGACCACCTAGGCTGCAAAATGCAATTCATACATTTCACAAAATTGGTGACTTCTACTTCAGATTTTGTCTAGATGCATCAAAGAGTCCCCAAAACACAGGTGACATCACTTTGCAGGATGTCACCTGCAGAAAAGAACGAGGGTATCCACTGACTTGTCCTGGGGCACTGCTGTGAAATAGAAAAGGGTTCTCAGAGCACCTACTGGCTGCCCCAAGGTACACATTGGAGCCATTTTAGGTGCTCAGGTGAATCCTTGCCTGGCTGGTTGCTGCTGCTCCAGAATGGCCCAGATTTCCCATCGGTCTAATGTTATAGCTGAAACTCACAGGTAAATGTCCTGGATACCTCCAGGCAACTTCAGATGGCATTAAATACATAAAAGCAAGACACTCAATTTACCTGTGAGACTGCTGGAGACCTCCCAGCACAGGGAGAAGTGACCAAGAACAGCAACACTTCCCATGCCACAGCATCCCTCTTCTCCTTTTCACTGCCACGTTTCCTGTGCACTGTAATGCAGTCCTGTATAAATGCACTAAAATTCCTCCTTCCTGCTCAGCCTACAGCAGACAGAATTGGTTGGCCACTGAACCCAGCTCACAGAAAACACATTTCCAGACACAGAGCTCTTCTGTCCCTTCCAAGGTACGCAGGTTGATGTGGCAGCTGTCACAGGGCCTTGGCTATTTCCTTAATGCCAAACTTCTCTCAAGCCCTCTCTCTCCCTCATTAATAAATATCTGAACTCTGACATCTGGAGTAGACCATAAATTGTGTCTCTTAAACTATCTTCTGTATTCCCCAGCAGAGCTTTGAGGAGGGATCACCTTCTTCCCAAGCACTTCAGCAGCATTCAGGGACCATCTCTTGAAATCACTGGAGCTGAATAAGCCTCTGGGCAGTCCATTTTGGCCTGAGGATGGTAACAAGCTAAAACAAAAAATCTGACCCAGCATTACAATGCTGTCCTCTCTCTGCCTAACGATTCTCATTTCCTCTCCAGACAAGACGCACCATGTATGTCTAATCCCCTCAGCCTGTCCTAATTTGCAAGTTCTAATACAGCTGTAGGTTAAAAGAGCCAGCCAAAATTAATTATTGCAGATTAAGGAACTGAGCAACAAACAGCAATGGCCTCTTGTTAAACTGAAACAGCTGATCCAAACCAAGCAATTTCAGCCCCTTGTTAAGTACTTGCTTCTCTTGTCCACTCTCCAGTGTTTTGCTGCTGAGCACCATCATCTGAGCATGGTTTATTTAGATGTACCCAGGCTATCACAGAGCAGCTTTGCCAGTGACAGCAGTGACCTTAGCTGAGACAGCCAGGAAAGCAGGTTTATAGGTGGCCAGCACCTGCAGGCCTCCTCAGCTGTGGGGTGGTCTTGCTTGGTTTTACTGTTATCAGGCTTTTGTGCCATTTAGAGTTGGCAGGCAGAGAAGGGAAATTAAACTCTGCTCATGCCAAGGGAAATTTATTTCAACCAGGTACTTCTCTTTTGCTTCCTTCCCACCCCCCTTTTGAGAGACATGAGGTCAACAGACAAACAGGTGACTTAGCTTGTACAAAAAATGTCATGCACCTCAGAAGCTGATAAGAAAACAAAGCCAGTGGCTGCCTTATAAGCAGGACCAGAGAGAGGAAACAGCAACATGATTTACCTGATGGCAGTGGTACAGATGCTATGGAATCCCAGGTCAGGGAGGTGATGACACCTTTGCAAAGCAAAAACTTAGGTGCCTTAACACTTTTGGTTTATGGTTCTACAAATATTATTCAGTGTCTAAAATAGAAAAAGGATGTTATTCAGTTATTAAATGCCAATAAATTGGTAAGATTTTACCCCTCTTTTTATTTTGTTTGAAACTGTGTGTTGAAAGCAACGTCAGCTCTAACATCAGATGAAGTTAGGTCACTTGGACCATCAGCTCTTTGGCAATGAGCCCCACAACATAAATGTCTCTATCCACTGGATCCTCCATAGAAAAATATAAGGTCCCACAGCACAGTTGTTGCTCTCTGCAGTGTGTCACCAACTGGTGTCTCCCTGCCAGGTCTGTAGGTGCTCTGCATGGCAGGGAAGGTGCTCTTCATTTCCCAAGAGGCCTGAATAGGGCAGTGTGGGTTAGGTGGCAGAAGGCTTTGCTATTTTCAGCACCCTAGGATTGTCAGAGATGCAATCCTTGCTGGAAATCACTCCTTGCTATAAACAAGGTGATGAATGTAGAATAAAATAGCCATGGTTTCTCCACTGGCCACTACTCCATATTCTGTTGTTAATCTGCTCCTTTCCCCTCCTCCTCCCTTCAATTATTCTGCAATAGCTGTTAGTTGCTAAAGGAACTGAAGAAACAATTAAGAAGCTTTAGAAAAAGCAGGTAATTTCTCACATGCAGTGCTGAGTACACAGCAGATGTGACTCAAGAGATACACATGCTGTTTTCAGGCAAGCATTCCCAAGGGTTTAGATAAAAATAATAAGGATGAGGTTTTTCAGCAGAAATCACGTTATTTTTTAAGTGGAAGGGCTCTAGGGGGCATTAAAAGAGCTCCCTGAAAATGCCATGATCATCTTCTGTGTGGGATCCCATAGCATTAGTAGTGTATAATTAAAACTATTAAGCCAGCAGTGAGGCTAGACAGGGATTCTGGTAGGGAAGTGGTTACAGGGGTGATGGTGAAATGGGGTGGTTGCAAAGATCAGACAATTTCTGATTTACTAGAGGTTTTCAAAGCAGAACAAATGAAATGCCTACAGGGAGATCTTCCTGCAGAGGGCAGAGGCAAGTCTCAAGGACCAGAATTTGAAGTGGATGGCTTCAGTTGCTGCAGTTCTGTTCAGCCAGCACAGGGAGAAATGCTGTGATGGTCAGAAGCCACATCACATTGCTACTTCACTGAAGTCTATGGCCCATATCCAACCTAAGGGTCCATGAGAGACACTTCTTTCCAATATCCCCCTGCTTAATCCATCCCCAGCATCTGTCACCACACCAAAGGGCACAGAGGCAGCAGAGCCAGCATTACCCTAAGCAGCTTGCTGAGCCAGCTGCAGGCTCTTGCCATCTTCTGGCTGTTATGAAGACTGGACAAATTAAGAACAAGTTTCCAATAGCCTCATTCACCTGAAAAATAATCAGTAGCCAACTCACTTCTAAAAAGTGGCCTGGCAAAGGGTCAAGAAATGAAATCTGGTGGCAAATAGACAAGTATGAACAAGTAAGTTTGTGATGATCCATCATCTTGGATGGATCCTCAATATACAGCACCAGGATTTTCTGTGCTCAGACACATAAATCTCAGGCATTCATACTCTGCCAATATTTTAAGTCATGCCCACAAAGCATATTTGAAGAGGATTCAAGCTGATGAAAAGCAAGTTGCTACTTTTAAACAGATTTGGTGACCATGTGAATGGAGCCAATGGATTCAATCCAGCAGATGACATACCATTAAAGACAAATTTGCTACTGCAGTTCTTACTGCCAGAAAAGGTGTGAAAGAACACGTGGCCCCTCCAGGATGTGCATAGCCATATTTCTGGTGCTACAGATGGCAGTTTGAGTGCTTGCAGGTTTTTTGCCTTGTCTTTTCATAAGGCATATTTAGTCCTTGCTGTTTTCAGGGAGACAGTTTAGATACAGTCAGCTTATGAAGAGACCCATCCCACTTGGATCATTTTAAAAACACCTCTTCCTTTCAAGTCACCAACTTGGCAAAGGAGGGAGAAGAAGAAACATTGAGCCAAACTCCATAAACAGATTTTGTTTCCTCTGTGTGTGAGATGATCCTGGGAAAAGCAAAACAATTAATCTACCCACGAGTGGCTTTGCCGGGAAAGGTTAAGGAATAATAGAGTGATTTAGATCACACCACTGTACATGCATTTATGAGGGAGAAATTCAACACCCAAATAACAAATTCAGTTCAGATTTTACTTCCTTTCTCCCTTCCCCTCCACCCCCCTCCCCCAAAAATGACATACCCTTCCATTTGTAAATTACTTTAATTTAAATACTTCCAGGTTAACAAAATGTCTTAAGTTTGACATGTCCGAAGTTACAAAACAGAAACAAAACCTCTTGACAAAGGGTAAGAAAAAAAATATATAATCCAAGCCCAAACCTCCTTTCCTAAACTGGAGTTTATGGTCTGTGAGCTGGCAACCCTCCAGAGTCTGACACAATGTCTGGAGCACCCAGAGCAGCTGGAATTAATTTTCTTCCTCCAAATCTATGCACTTTCATATGAAGTTGTGTTTTGGCACTGCCGCCCAAGAGAGTCCAGTGCAAAAAATCTAAGCCTGGCCGTTGTTTCTTTGCAACCCAACACTTGCTGAGCAAACAACAAAAAGGAAGAAGAGGACAAAAAAAATTAAGAGAAAGAAAAACCCTTTCCCTTCCCCCACACATACACAGAAAACTGTACCAAACAGGGGGGCTATTCAAGGCTGTTCAGAAATGGGTCACAAAGAGAAATGTTTGCAGATAAAACCAACACTTTTTTTTTTTTAACTTCGGCCTTTTTTTTTTTGTTTGTTTTTATAAACATCATGGAGGCCCCTGGAAGATGCTGGGGATGTTGAGAGTTGAGGTCCTGCTGATCCCTTCTGCCTCCCATTTGCACAGCTCCCACGCTGGCCCTACGTGCAGCCCCTCTCTGGGGTCCGGATCCTTTGAGCCGCCTGCTCCGAGTCTGAGCCGCCGTGGGGAGCCCGGGGGGCCACGGGGCCCTGTGGGCATCAGCATCGAGCTGTGGCTCCTTGCCTGGGCTGGTGGGGGGTCAGGAGGGAGGAGGGAGGCATCCAAGGCACTCCCAGGGTGTCCCGTCACAAAATCACACACTGGAGTTTATGGGAGCCCGTGGCTCTGTCCCCTCGCCATTTGGTCTTTTTCTTCTTCTTCTGGCTTTTCTCTGGGATCTGTTGCCTGTTTTGGGAGACAGAGAAGAAAGCAGGCAGGTGAGGCATAAGGCTGGGCTGGATCCAGAGCCCTGGGCAGCCTGTAGAGCAGCACCTTGGTGTGCATGTGCATGTTTGCATACAGATCTCCATGTACCCTTCCAGCACTGCATGGCTTTTGATGCCACACAGCTGAGAAGGCCTGGCCTGCATTCTTCAGGAAGGAGGAAAGAAGCCATTAAGGCTAATAGCAGGGATGTATGTCCTGCCAGGGCACTGTGCCTCCAGCTGCCCACGGTGAACTGCTGCCTCCTCCCCTGCCATGGGGGCTGCTCTGGGAAACAGGGATGCTCTAAGTGATGCAACCATCCATTACACTGCTGACACTCAGTAGGCAAGAGGATGAGAGAGATCCAGAGAGCACAGAGAAATACTCTCTTCTGCCTTTCAGCTGGCATTGCCCTTAGCCAGCTGCACTGATGCAGACTTGGTGATGGAGGGGAGCTAAAAAATAATAAACCAAAAATTGAGTTTGCTGCCAAAGGGGCTCTGGCTTCCTCTGATGTTGTGAAGAGCATCAGCGCACAGAGAATGAGCTGACCCCAGAAAGATGGCACTGGCTGTCTGAAATCACAGCCACCAGGAACACAGAGCTGAGAGCCCTCCTGCAGTATGCCCTGGAGCTGTGAGCAGCGTCTGAAGCATTCTGTTGAGGGCTCCTCCCTGTCCAGTAAAGTGAGGCACTGCCCAAATGTGCGTTTGCAGCTGCACCCAACTGCAGCAGCTACTCTGGCAGCCCAGCAGTGCAAATCCAGAGAAGGCTCTGTAGCTCAAACACCTGACAGGCAGCCTGTAGATGCAGATTTTAGTGCAAGATAAAACATACAGACACCAGTGCTTCCGTAGATTCAAACCTGAGCATCTGAGCAGTTCAAAAGCAGCCTCATGTCATATGCCAGGTACTAAACCAAGTGTTCATACCAAGTAATCCAGACCAGGATGAGACATCACTGGGGCATAAATCACTATGGCTTTAGCAGGTGTTTCTCTTATAGCCTCAGCTTCCAAATTCTTGCAACCACCTGAAAAACTCAGCCTTGACTAGTAAGACTTTTTCTCAGTGAATATGAAGGCTGGAGGCATGAAAAAGATAAAACTTTAAATCTCAAAACTACCAAAATGAAATTCAGAAAATACTTTAAATCTGGATAAACACTAAGTGACCACAAGCTGTTCACACTCTTCTGGATCCGTTTTAGAGATCCAGAAACCACACCCTGGCTCAAGGCTTCTGCTGTGACAATTCCTGTGTGTGCACTGCTGCAGCATAAAAGGGGCATCAGGAAATTTAAACCATCTATTGAGTGGATTCAATCACCTCACTTCTTTCTGGATTACTTCCAGACAACAGTTTCTTGCATGAAGCTAAATAAATAAACTGGAAATCAGCCAAGTGCAAGGAGCACAAACAGTGAACCCTGAACAAGCATCCTCACCCTGAGAGCTCAGAAGGGCTCTGAGGAAGCCCTTCATTTGCAAAGCACTTTGTCAACGACAGTTATCAGGGAGTTGAAACTTACATTTTATTTGAAAAAGCTTACTTGAAAACCAGAAAAACAATACTTGATGGGTGATGCCCCTCGACTGTGGACAGTTTTTAATGCCCAAAAACCAAGCAAAGATGCTTTGTTACCAATGACCAGCCAGATCACACAGTGTCTCCCTGATGACTAAACCTGAGTTCCAGCTCTTGTGAATATTTCTGGTGCCCTTGACATCACAGGCTGGCAAGGACTTTCACAGTAGCTACTCAGGAAACTGAGGTGTACCACTTATTTTTGAGGTTATGGAGTGCATTTTCAGGGCTTGAAATTAGTAATGCCTCATTACAATACCCCTTTCAGCCTGCCTAGAGCTGTATTACGTGGAGAAAGCAAACAAAGCCTTTCCATCTTATTTTTGGCTGCTTTCCTTTCCTGCAGAGCAGAGTAGATGGTGGTAAAAGCTTGCTGCAACACAGCAGTAATATCTAGGCAGCTAATACTGAGTTAGAGAACAGTTGGGAAAGAGCTTGGGGCACTTCCAACTCAGTTCTCCAAAGACTTTCTGCCCTCTGCTTTTGAGACATGTGGGAAGAGTGGGCAGTACCATCTGGTTTTGATGGAGGCTGGCTTGAGGCTTTGCTAGGATATTCACAAGTACAGATATGCTGTGAATAAATGCCTTGTGGTTTAATTGCCGGGCGAGGCACTTTGACTGCATGGCAGGAAGGAGAGTGATTTCAGCTCAGCACCCTCCCAAAACATGAAAAATGAGGGCCCAGAAAATCTGGCAGACAACTAGTGCCAGAAAAACAAATCTTCTCAGAGAGAGCTGAGGTTATCAGTCGAGATGCTGGGATGTGTGTGCAGCTCTTTTCCTGCAGGGGAGCTGGGCTTTGGGAAGGCAGTCCCTCCCTGCTGGCAGCCAGAGCAGGGGTTTGCCTGGAGAGCGCGCGTTTGCCAAAAGGCAGCTCATGCCAAAACTGGGAACAAACCTCTGCACTCTGAGGAAACCTGGGGCTTAGCCATTAGGTCATGCAGTTTCTCATACAAAATGCCTTAATTTTTTCCATTTAGTGAGCACAAAATGTTAGAAGTCACCTACAACATTAGAATTTTGTGGATTTTTTTGCCAGTCCTTTTTAACTTCTGGCAAGGCAAGACCTTGAGAGGACAAAACTATGAAAACCCAAATTACTGGTCCAGAGCTTTCAATGCTAGCCTTTTAGAGCTGATCATTATAGCAGGCTTTGCACTGTTAATTGAATAAAAAAAAATTTAATGATGGCCACAGTTACTTCTTACTGGGGTTGGTACTGATGTCCTGCATGGGTAGCTAAGTGCTAGTAACATACCTAAGCAGATACAGGACAAGAAAGTTAATAAACATCAGAAATAACCTACCCTCAAGAAAACCTGCTGCCCAAAAACTGGCTCCTGACTCTCTGGGCCGTGACTCCTGCACATCCCATCCATGGGCAGTAAGGAAGGGGGGAGTTTGCAGCTTACCTTATTACCCTCACGAGATCATGGAAGGCCTTGTCCACGTTCAGAGGTGGGTCCTTGGCACTCGTTTCTATATAAGGAATCTGGAGGAGAGAAGTGTATCATGAAAGAGATCAGTGATAATACCAGTTTTAAAATGAAAAGCCTAAAGGCTGGAGAAATGGGCTGCTAATACCACGGAAATACAGGTAAACAAAATGTTGCCATGACACTGCTATCAACACCCTCACACTTGCAGCAAGGTCAGGGACTGCTTACAAAAGGTCTGGAATAAGCACCAGGCTAAACAGCTGCTGTCGAGCTCTGGGTTAGGGGGAGAATAATCCAGACTTCATGTCGTGTCAGATGTTCTCTCCCCCTGAGCTGTGCTCACAGACATGAAAATAGCCGAAGGTTGTTGAAAGACCATCACTTGCCAAAAATTCTTGCTTGCCACATTTTATTGGGACTACTGCATGAATATTTCATGACTACAATTCCCCTTCAGTGTAAAATGATCTTCCCCTTGAAAGTCTGACAGCCAGATGGGGCCTCCTAGAGTGCTTGTCCAGCACACTGGCAGATTTATAAAACTGCCTCTGATAAGGTATTTTCATGCATGGCCTTTTCCAAGGCGTGTGTATACAGATGGACACAACATGCTGTGCTGCAGTTTAGGTGTTCTGGCTCTGACAGAAACCAGATTCCGTGGGGAGGGGAGGGAGTGAACCTGCCCTGCCAAACTCCCATCGAGGTTTGCTCAGAAACCACCACAGCTTGTCCTTTAGGCACAGCAAGCTTCCAAGAGGTTTCAGGCTTGTTTGCCTTTAACCTTTCCTTCAGTTCCACCTCTTAAGGGAGTTGTTGTCTCCCTCTGGGTATTCAGGGCTGCTGGCATTTAGAAGTCATTAGTGGAGCAGCATGTGATCTACACCCATCTAAGACCAATTTCTCAGGCTAAACTAACTGCATGAATAATGCAGAGCTAAGATGGTGGGCCAGATTTATATAGGCTTAACAACCCTGTAAACTTCATTATCTTGAACAAGCTCAGGCACCTGGATATACCTCCTAAAACCTGACTCTGCCTTTTCAGTCCAGGGAGGTGCACTTTCTTCCCTCATCCTGAACACTTCTCACCACTTTCAGACACCTTGTATATAAATCTTAGTGATTGCCACAGCTCTGCTACAGCCTGGTGCACAGCAGAGGTTCTGGTTTCAGTGATGATTTAGCCCTACTGAAATGAAACTGCATAGCTGCTACTTTGTAGTAGTCAAAAATGTGTTTAAAAATATTTAATTGTAAGCTTTAATTCAGCTCCTAATGAACACAGCTTTCGATTCTGAAGGACTTCCAATAACCCATTAAATAATCCCATAAACTTACATTATGTTTTGTTGCCATTTCTCTCCCCTGTTCTCTTGTAATTTTCCGTAAGTGCATTAGATCAACTTTGTTTGCCACCAAAATCATTGGAAAAGACTCCCTGGAAAAAATCAAAACCACCACCCAATTATTAGCAGACTACAACAAAAATTATGAGCATAAATTTCACTTTTTGATGCTGACATCATCTAACATTTTCAGCTACAGGCATACCACATATGTGTAAAGAAATAAAAGAAAAGCCCCAGGCTGTGCTATACATATGTTCATATCGTAAAAATTTACTTGACATGTTGCATGCATGCACACATTCCTTGTTATTTGTAGGGACCTCAGGAACTTATTGTCACATTTTTGCAATGCCTGATGATAACTAAGCCTGAAGATCTAACTGGGACTAGAAAGATCTAGAGAATTAGACAGAAAATCAACTGAGACATAAAGACAGATCTTGGACAGGAGACTGGGACTCTTTTGTAGCAGTTAAGGCATCTCAGTAACTGCTTATCTTGGCAAGATACTGAGGGATGATGGAAGAATTGGAATAATTTCATTCCTGGTCATCCACTGAGAGCAACTGTGGGGAAAGAAAGATGGACTCTGGGAGTCGGTGCTTAGAGGGGCATCAAATGGTGGAGAAAATGAGTGGAAGCAAAGAGATGCCCATCAGATGTTACCCCAACACAAACTGTGCTTGGCAGTGGTAGCTGGAAGGAAGCTGGGAGGAACCAAAGAGGTTTCTTAAGCTTCAACTGCTATTACCTACCTTCTCCTGTTTCTAATCCCAGAAAAAAAATACCAAACCCATCTCCCTCTGTAATAATACACAGCATTTCCTTAACTACCAGGCATGTAAGTGCCTGCCTTCAGCCACCACCTGAGAAGAGATCCATCTATCCACAGCATGTCCTGTGCAAGGCTCTCCCCCTCTCCCCCTGCAGAAAGCTCCACTGTTCCAGCGATAAACAGAACCAAGGTTGGGAGCCATGGGAGGTGTTGGCAGTGCCACTGTCTCCTCTGGCTTCATGAAACAGAGCAATCAGCTGCTGCAGGACCTCTTAGCCACTGCTAAGGGAGGAGGTCCCTTCTGATCACTGACAGTTACTGCAGTATTGGTGTCTTATATTTAACTTTAAGCCATCCTAAATGATCCCAGCGTTCTCTGCTGTAACAGACCTGATTTTACTGGAGTAAGGAGCAGCTGGCCATACTCATTTCTGTATAAAACACTTCTCTGGTAACTCTGGATTTTAAAACCGTTTTTCTGGGTCATTATTCATCAAGATGATAAGAGCTCCATCTTCCCTCTGGCATGTTGCCCCATTGCTCTGGCTGGAAAAATACCGTACTGCACTCTGCATTTTAAATGAGTCTTAGGGTTATTCATTCTGATAATGTGACTGTGATTTAATGTTAATACCTGAGCATTGATATATCTTGACTCTGATCCTTCTGGAGAAAAATATTTGCTTGTCTGGATTATTTGATTGCTTTTTGGCTTGCAGGACATTGATTAGAAAGGTATTACTTTTGGATGGTATCTCATTTGCCTTGTTTACATCAGGCATAAAACTCTATGGGGACTTTGTTCCCTATTGTAAGCTGTGCAACTGATAGTTGGACAAAACTGCAACAGTTGGAAATTTTACTATAATGAAAGCTGTGGAAAGAAATGGGAGGAAGGCTTTGAATAGCCCTGCTAACACAGCAGCCTGCAATTCTTTTGGATTTTAAGTTGCCAAAACTGCCTGCCAGACTGCAAACCAGGGTGATGCTCTGTTCCTAGCTACCTGAAGGTTTGGCAGGAGGGGTTTTTTCACTCATGCTGCTCCCACTGCTGCGATTTTCTGCCCAAGCTCAGGTTTTGGATGAAGCATTAATACGCTGCTCACGCTTGGAGTGGTGCTGAGCGGGGAAACACAAACCACCTCCCCAGCCCGTTTCACTTCCTGCCGCTCACACGCTGCTGCAGCGCTTGCACGGCGGCCTACGGAGGGTAACACTTCGGTCCAGAGCAAACAGTGAACACCGCATCTTATTTTCACCAAGGTAAATTAGATAAAATCAGCATCAGACTGGGGCAGGTTACAGGAAATTCTGTCCTCTCTCCAGCTTTTAGAAACAGATTTACTTTGCCCCAAGCTAAGCCAGTCAGTGCTTAGACTGCTGTGATCTGAGAGGCTGACTGAGGGACTGACATTCTTCTTCATTTAAATGAAATCAGAGGGTGGTTTTTCCTTTACTTTTCACTCTTGTGGGCCACACTTTGGATGCTTTACTGGAAGAGCTGTCAGCTGTGAACCTCACATGATAGGAGTCCACCCTTCCTGTGGGGAAGTTATTCAGAGCTGTGAAAGGAAGCCAGCAACAAGGCCCAAACCCTCTGGTGACTTTTCTTGATGACTTCCATAATTAAGAGTCATTATGAACGGAAGAACTAAGTGTTTCAAAGCTGCAGACATATAAGGGCTGAATTCACACCCCACCCAGTGAGAATGGATCCACTGCCTCTTGAAGCAGGGTGGGAAGAGGGAGTTATCTTGGAGATAAACCAGCAGCTTCCCCTCACTGTGCCAGGACACATTTATTTACCATGACTAAACTCCCAGTGCTACCTTCTCCCCTGCACATGCAAGGAGGAAAGAGGCAACCTCTTTTGCTGTCTCACCAGGCACAGACAGATGTTTTATTCTGTGTAATTGTTTACTGCAGAGCACGGTGCATTAACCACATTACATTGCTAGTAAGAAATACAGCTCCTTCCCAGCACGAGTTTTTTCCCCTTCAAGACACTTGTTCACACCCCCAAATAATGCAGGGCCTTCAAAGGTGCGTTTGGCACAAGCCAGGGATAGGAAGATGGCACCAGGACACACGAAATAAGGAGGGCCGAATGCTTGCTGCCTCCCTGCTGGTGATCCCAAAGTGCCTGCACTGGGCACAGAACACCCTTCCTCCTTTTCAGAGCTGAGCTGGTTACCTTCGGGGCTGTCTGATCTCTCTTTCTCACACTGCTCCGCCAGGCCATTCTGGCAGAAGTTTCTCCCTTCCACATACATTCTCATTCCACTGTAACACTACTGACTCTTTCCGCACTGAAAGTGCTTCATGCTTATCAAAGTAAACTACTTCTGATTCACCACACTGAGATGCACATAAGGATTTGTCTCAGGACACCCAGAAGGCAGGAGCTGGGGTCAGAGGTGCAGCCATGCCCCCAGGACGGTCGGCACGTGGCGGGTCAGGCAGTGCTGGCCCGTGGCACCCACCTGTCCTTGACTCTGAGGATCAGCTGGTGGAAGCGGTCCACGTGCTCGAAGCTGGCCTTGTCTGTCACCGAGTAGACGATGAGGAAACCATCTCCAGTCCTCATGTACTGCTCCCGCATTGCACTGAACTCCTCTTGGCCTGCAGTATCCAGAACTAGGACAGAAGAGACAAAGGTTTATTAATTACTGTGGGGGACCTGTAGCTGCTGGCACCACCATGTGTCCTGTGGCCTTTCTGCCTCTGCTAGGCTTCCTCAAAGACTGTAAGATGTGATGAAATCAAGTTGGATTGACAAGGGAGTTTCTGTCCCAGTCCTCACTCATCCTTATATGCCTAAATTGGGAGCAGAGGAAGATGACTGTGTGGATTTCATTTTCCTTTTCCAGGACCAATACAGATCACTGAATTTGGTAGAGTTGCTCCTCTGGTAAAATACAGCTCAAAGGATTTCAGAACCCTCTCAACTTTTCCCCCTCCCAGAAAAGAAAACCCAAGACTGGAAGATAAGCTAAAAGCCAGTTTAAATGTCTGGGATAACCTAAAAAATGCATGGTGAAGCAGAGCTGTGAGACAACCCAAAGGAATAGCTACAAGTGTTTTCCTTTTCTCAAGACCTGGATGTTTTTTCTAGACAATTTTATCCTTTCAGAGTGAGACTTGGGGACCTCCCCTTAAATATTTAGTCCCAAATGGTGTGCTGATAGTAAGGAGGTAACTAAAACAAATGTAAAAGCTTTAAGTACCTTGCACATCCAATACAGTGATCACATTTCAGTGAATGCTCAAATCCCCTAAAACACCTCAGTTGTGACAGCCACCCAGATGCTGTTCCCCACTAGATTAAACTTAATGGAATCATAACTCATTAGTTCTCCATGGATCTGTCTTGCAGAGGGTCCCATCACTTGTAGAACAAGCTACCCCAGCCTTCTGGGTAAACACCACATACTGATACACAGAGCAGCGCCAGTTCCTGAGCCCCAGCTTTGTGCACAGCCAGGATTTTGACTGGCAGGAGGAGGGTACAACAGGAGTTCATCAGTTTAGGCTAAGCCAGTACAAACATGGGGTGCACTTGAAGGGCATCAGCTGCTCAGAAGTACTAATCCTAATGCCTCGTTGCACCCCAGAGGCAAATGTGGGACCCTCATGATGACTGGAGCATTTTCACATCCCAGTCAACTGGGCTGGGTGGGAAAATTGTTTTGCCTCTGCTGTAAACATGGTAAAACTGTAAAGCTGTGGTGTAAACATCTGCTGCCCACAAGTGATGGGGAAAGCCCAGCATAGCCATGGATGGAGACAGTGGCAGGAGAATACTGCTGACAGAGCAGCAGGGCTTTGATACAGGTTTGTCTAGTCTGAGCCGACCCACAGACCCCGCAAGGTGTTCCCTGTAGGGGAAGTGCTCAGGCTGCCCCAGTTGCCAGATGGGGCCATGATAAAGACCACTTTGCTGCATCAGCACAGGTGGACACGCTGCACATCACAGCACACTTCATGAGCCAGCCACACACCTCCACTGCATGTCTGGAGGACAGACAACTACACTGGAAGACCTGGAGGCCTTCCTTGGTGCTGACAGGCCCTTTAAAGCCTTCAGCCTCATTTGTTCTCCTTCTTTAATTGGTGTTGAATGTCTGTTTTCATGAGCTCTAAAGGTAAAAAGCACTTCCAGGCTCTTGCAAAGACCCTTAGATTTAGGCTTGTTTGCCAAGATTATTGGAAAGTCACCTAAATCTCTTCACAGCCTTTTATCCTGCTCCTCCTCTCTAAATCTAGGAAACAAGGGTCTCAGCTCAAAGACATTTCAGCTATTCTTAAGGACTGTACAAAGAAAAAGAAAAAAAAAAAGGAAATAGAAAATCCAAAGAGACTGCTGCGTGTGCTGGTAAATTTCTATGCCCTGGGCAGAACTGCTACCATGGAATAAGGCCAGGACTCTGAAGCTGGGACAGAAGAGGAAATTAATCTCTCCTACCTGCCCAACCTGTATGGAGAGGCCGGGCTGCCCTCATCTGACTCCTGCAGCAGCTAGACACGGTGTCAGGGCAGGGCTGAGAGCTGACAGCCAGCACACAAACCCAGCTTGTGGTGGGGTGGGAGAGCTCCCCACTGAGAGCCGAGCCCTCCTGCCCTCCCTCCCCCTGAGGTGCCCCAGCACAAGCTGTGGGCAGGAAGGTGGAGATGGATGTGCTGTATCCTGCATGGTAAGTTGCTTAGGGACTTCCCCTTGCTCTGGCACATTTGCAAACTTCTCACGAAACACCTAAGGAGCATCCAGCTCTGCCTTTGCGCCCATCAACCCATCCCCAGCTGCTGGCTCTCCAAAACTCTGCATCTGCTGGGAGAGGGGGCAAGCCCTGATGGGGGCTGTGGGGCTACCCCACTGCATGGGGCTCTCCTACCTTGCCTGGATCTTGGCCATCACACTAAACACAGGCAGAGCTGCTGTGTCAGCAGCTGCTAGTTAGAGGGAATTCACTTGCAGCATTGATAAAAAGGTAAGCGAGTCCAGGCAGCATTTAAAATGGCAATTTGAAAGTGTAACTAAAAGACACACAGCAAGTGAAGGTTAAGGTTATTCATACAAAATTAAGCATTGTGTAGATGACCAGAGAAAGTCCTTGTCTTAACTTTAAACGTGCTCTTCCATCAAGGCAAACTCCCCAGCCTAACATTTCTGTGCTTTGTGAATTGTAAACAACAGAGGAGAGGGATCTGGATCCTCTGTAGGCAGGAAAGAACCCCATCCTGAAAAGCATCATCTGGCCCTTTTTCGGTGCTGTAAGTGGCTTTGCTTGTGGCATCTTATGGCATAAAAGCTTAAAGAAAACTCCTACCCATAGAAATGGGAAAGTATCAAGGAGAAACCTTGGGAGGGGGTAACTCAGAAGGTGATTGGCTTCCCAAAGGGATGAGAAGATTTAGCACGTTAGCCAGCATTCACCTTCTTTTAAAGTTCCTGTTTCTACCGACAGGATGGCAGAAGACAAGAAAGAACCATGAGTAGAGAACTGTGAGCTGGTACACTTTAAACCACTGGCAGCAGATAAATGCCAGCATGGAAACAAGGACCAAAGCACAGTGGGTTTTTCCTACCTCATTCTTCCAAAAACTGAAATCAGACTCATCGGCTGCACAATGCATTGTCAGGGACTTCCAACAGAAACTTAGTGAAGTTCTCACAAATTTGACCAAAGAAGCAAGGAGCTTTATGAAAGCTTTTGGGAACGCTGAAGGAGAGAGAAGCCAAGGATGATCTATGATGCAGGAACAGACATCCAGAGAGGGCAAAGCCATTTAGAGCTGTCATGAGACCAGCTGGAGACTAAACTAAGAGCAATTAGGCTGTGAGAGCCCAGCAGGGAGGTCTCCTGCTTTGCAGGTAAGAGGTTGCTGAGTGAAGAAATGGCCTTTTTGACTTTCTAGTGGATGTGACCCCCAGCTGCTGTGATGAACTCCTTGCTAATTGAATCCTGCCCCTTTAGAACACTCCACACCATTTTCCTTTGAATCCTGGTGGGTTATGCAAAAGTGGAGCTGCCTATAGAGCACTTCTGAGCAGGCACAGGAGCCCAGGAATACACAGGAATTTATGGTCCAAAATAGAAGCCCTTGGTGCTTCAAGGTGTACCGTGTGGCAAGGTCTCTGCAACTGACTGCGCTCCAAGTGCCCATCCAGAGACAAAGGCACTTGGTGAATCTAAACCAAGGACAGAGACACACTGTGAACTCTAAGACAGCAATGACATTGTTTTTTCTGGAGCCTAGGCTGGATTCAGTTCAAATACAGCATTCCCAGCCTTTGATGAGCCCATCTGGTTGTGCAGATGAGTTCTTTTTTCATATCTAGGCAAAATTTCCTCCTACATCTTAGCCTTTACATTGCCTGGCAGTTGGGTGTATAGATCACCTCAAGAGAGTTTCTCCATTGCCCATGGCATCTAGAGGGGATAAAGATGAGCTGACAGGCACATCAACCCATTTTCTGTCCTTCAGCCTTTGGGTTTCACTGCCCTGCAGCTTGGTGCCTAAGCTCATGGGAAAATTTAGCTTGAATTGCCAAGTCAAACTAATGAGCCTCAAGCTGAGGAAAGCCACCTGCACAGTCTCTGTCTTCTCCCATCAGCAGCACCGTGGGAGAGGTGCTCCTATCAGCCACTGGCTACAGCTGAGGAATTGATATTCTGGGCACCCCACAGATGGGGTACTGGGGTCTCAGCTCCTATTCTGTATCCCCACACCCCAAATCACCTTGAAGAGGTATGAGGTGCCCTTGCCATGTGCAAAGCAAGGCAGATGCTTTACTTGGTCACTCTGATGCTTCTGCTCCTTTTCAGACACAGCCATGCTACCCCTGGCATGACAGCTTTCCTCAGAAAAAAATACAGGATAGGAAAACACTGGGGCTTTTATAAGCTCTTCTTCTGTGCCCTAGCTAAATACACAGATGCTATAACATGGAAAACCCAAGTACTTGAATTCCTGCCCTTTCTTTAGGCAAAAAGAAGACAGGCTTCCACATCAATAAACAGAATAAAGATGCAAGCCCTTAAAGGAGCCCTTTCTCTAACAAAGGGCAAGTATTCAAGGCCTTGTGTTTTCCATGTTGCAACATCAAAATTTTCCTGGCAGGAAAAAAATTCAACCCAAGACAACCCAAGACAAAACCCCCTCTTTCACTGTTGCAAAATCTCAGCAATTAAGGGAGCAGAAATACTGTACACACAAATAATGAAAGTACAAATTTAACTTGAATTTTAATGCTCTCAGTGATGCTACTCTAAATTAACAGAAACGAGAAGAAACAAGCCACAAACCAACCCTTCCGCCTGCAGATCTGAAGTGATCTTTGCTCTCCCTCTGGCCTCATGACTGAGTTGATCTCAAGTTTTCCCAGAAGAAAAGCAGACAGTGTGCCTAGGGATGACTAGCAGCAAAAACCCTCAGCAAAAAGGGATGCAAGGGATAGACAGGTGGAAGGGCAGATAGAGTGTGGAGGAAGGAACAGAGCTTGGTGTGACTGCACAGGGGTGAACACCAGGCTGTGCAGGTCCAGCCCAACACAAGGGCCCCCCAGGATTGGGAGGAGGTCTTGGGAAGAGAACTGGAAGGGAAACTGAAGCTCAGAAGCACAGAAACAACTTCTAGGCTGTGAGAGTTTCATCAAAATCATACCAGGGAAAGGAAAGGGAAGAGAAGGGAGACCACAGCTTCCTTTCATCCAACACAATTCCTTGTTTGGCTCATACCAATTGGCACAGCCCTATTGACAGCTCAGAGTTCAGCCCAATTCCCCAACAAGACCAAGCCATGTGCTTGTGGTCATCTCTTCATCTCCCTTTGCTTGCTGCCTTTTTATCTCTGTATGATGTACGAGCCATAAGGAATTCTGAACCATAGGGAACGTTTTGGCATGTTAAGGTATTCCACTTTTGGCTTCATGCCCAGATTAAGAATTCCAGACTGGCATTTTGCAGCCACACCAAAAGAAATCCTCTGCTACTTGCTAAATTAGCCTGCACACAGAAAGGAGTATGCAAAATCAATCACAGCAATGCAACTGGAGCAAGAGCTAATCAAAGCAGATTAACCCTGGCCCCCACTTAATTCTGACCTCATGTCTGTATAGCACCTACAAGTATTTCCCCAAGCACAGCACTGTGCTGATTTCAGCACTACCAGCAGAGAATAAACTGAGATAACATATGCAGAGAAAATTAGAGGCTGGTCCTAAAGCCTCATTAGAGTGGCAGCAACCAAAAAGTGGGCTAGCCACTAACTGCCTGCACATCTTTGATTCAGGTTAAGTGCCCTCTTCCACTCTACAGCACTTGTCTTCCAAACACTGCATTGATGGTCTTCTAAAGCTGGCATAAGGTCAACAACAAAGTGATTTTGTGTAGTGTGGAACATGAACACAACAAACATAGATGCCACAATCTTTTAGGAGGCGGAAAACACAGACAGCTCTTGGTGAGAAAAATAGAGACATGCCCTAGCCAAAGAACAAACAGGTAAAAGAAGATTTTGAATGTAACTTTTGTTATAAGATCTAAAATAAAATCCTATTCCATTTCAGTCTACTTTCATTGAGAAATTTCAGCAAAAGAAAAAAATGCAAGTCAAACATTTCATCATGCAGGCAGTTAGTGCTGTTGAATAAATGTGGGTGAAGGTCTTCATGGAGGGAAGCCAAATGCTTTATGCAAGCTGGCTAGCAGAAGGGTTTTTTACAACATAATGCTGGTGAAGTTACAAAATGCTTGAGATGCTTTGTACAGAACTGCTCAGGCAACAGCCTGGAAAAGGGTGGGCTGTTTCCCTTCTTTTAAGAAGTTGTTGCATGCCTATGTATTTGGTTTTTTAAAAATAATAACTGTTTCTGAAAATTTCAAAACTTTTAGAGCCCCTCATGCTACAGCCTTATTTGGTTGTTCGTGTTTCAAAACTAGTTCCTATTTGGGGGGATGGGCAGCTGCTTCTGCCCACTAAGCACTGCATGAAACTTCAGCTTGTAAAGGCTTTGGTCATAAAGAACAACTGGAAAGTCTAGGAATTATCATGATGCATCGTTACCCTACCTATCATGCTTGTCCCCAATTTTATACCATAAGTGATTCATGTAGCCACAGCAAGAGCAGCTGTCCCAGGATATGGTGACCTCTGAGAATGGCCTAGATCCAAAGCCTGTGACAGAGAGAGGAGGCAAATGACACAAGTGTTAGTCAGTCATGGTGCCCTGTTTCTTCTGGGCAGATGGAGAAGAGCCACGTCCTTTTTCAGGCAAGAATATTGCCTTTCTTCCAAAATTGTGAGTGTTCAAAATATCAAGTGGTAGGAAAGAGAAGCAGCTGCAGTTTCACTCCTCTGGCTGTGAAGCATCTGTGGGCACACAAGCCCTGGAAGTCAGGGATTCCCAACATGCCATTCAAGGCCACAGCTGAATTCAGTTCAGCCCAAGTACAGCCAAGTACAGCTCCATCTGAGCAAAAGAAAGGCTTTCTCATTAAAAAAAAGGGTTACGTTTCTGCTTGTTGGAAAACAATTTCTTTCACCACTCCCACTCAGATCAGGTTTGGTTGGGTTTTTTGTTGTTGTTTTGTGGGGTTTTTTTTGCCTAAACAAAAATTCCAAATATTCAGTAAAAGATGCCTTTTCTACTTTTCAATAATTTGCAAAGCCAAGGCTGTTTCAGCCAACATCAACATGTACAGCAGCTGGTATATATATCAGAATATGAGGCATACCAGTGAAGATAAAGGTCACTCATTTTAGAGGGCTGGATTTTGGACTCAAAATAATGAATTTAATTTACAGCAGGACTGGATTTTTCTTTTATACAGGACTGGAATTTTTAAAATAAAGGTGAATGTATACATTTTGAGATGGTTAATTGGGAGCAGATATCTTTAATGCAGATGACAAGAAGAGACATTTCAACACCAATTTCACAAATACTGCCTCATAGCAACTATTAACATATTCAAATGAACAAATGTTGGCAAGACTAACTTGTTTTGTTGTTTGCTGGTTTTGTTTAATATTGAAAGAAAGCTGTTCTTTTAAGGACTTTGTGGCCATTTGAACTCACTAAATTATATCTGATAAATCCATAAGACTGCAACTAAGATCTCAAGTTTCCAGACCAAGCTAACAGTTTTCACAGCAAACCCCACCACCAACCATATTCCACCACTCTTGACAATCCCCCAGCTTTCAGTCCCCACACACCAGTGACACTTATGCAGAGACATCAAAGATCTTGAGCACCTTTGTGGCAAGAGGGTGGAGGTAGAATTTGGCACAAGTGAGGCTAAATTTAGTTCAGTTATGTTAGTGGCCACATACATACATGAACTTGGATAATTAAGGCACAAAATACTTGCTTGCTTTTACGTATTACCTAATAATCCTATAAAGCAAAACAAAACTTACAACATTTAAGAGCAAAATTCCCTTTGTAGCTGTGGCTAGTCTGCCTCATGCAGCACAAATGAACAAGCTGCAGCTTTAGGTAATACAGGGCTTTCTCCTCCCCTGCTAATCAACGTGGTTGGTTTGGGGTTTTTTGGTCTGTGTGTTTCACTGTTGTTGTTTTGTTAAAAAGAAAAAAAAAAAAAGGCAGTTTTTCTTCAAAAGACTGAAAACTCTTGGTTACAGCAGCTCTCTGATCTCCAGGCTCCAATCTCCTACCAATATTTAAATGAAACAGGTAATTGAATGTGAAAACATCACACTGAATGACTGGATTTAAGAGCTGTAACGATTCTTCACTGTCAGTGGACAACAGTTTTGATTAAATATTCTTTCTGGTTCCAGCCCTCACTCAGTTACCCACTCACTGTTATTTCCCTGGGGATGAGCTCAACCTCAATGAAGTATCATTAGCAATAGCCACCTGGCAGTGCTGTAATTCACCGGCTGCAGAAGCCTACTCCAAATGTCAATGAGGATCTCTAGGTTTGCACAGGCCTGCAAGAAACATTTCTGTGCAGAACTGGAACCAATGCAACTGGAAGCAGAAGCTTTGCTGGAGACCAGCTGCAGACCATGCACTGCAGCTCCAGATCCTGCCAGCCCACAGCAGAGCAGGAGGACAGAGACATAACATGCTGTGGGAGACATTGAGGTCTATTTGCAATTGTGCTCAGCTAGAAGGGAAAGGGGATGGTGAGAGTAGCTTGCTTACCATCAAGAATTGCCCACTGCCCGTCGATTTCTGTGTGCTTCAGGTAGGAGTCTTCAATAGTTGGGTCATAGTCTGGCACAAAAATCTTCTGGAAAAACTGAATAGTGAGAGCACTCTTCCCCACACCACCATCTCCAACAACCACCAGCTTGTAGGTGGGGAGGTTTTCGCTGGGAACGGCACTTGTAGCCATGCTTCCAGTGTGCCAAACCTACTGGAGAGAGAGATCATCTCCAATCACTCAGCAGCAACAATAAGCAGCAAAATGCACAAGGCAGCTTTTACCTGCTGCCTAAGAAATGAGAATGAAGGCAGCTCTGACATCCAAAATCCTTTTGGAAAGGAGCAACAGCACCAGCCCTTCCCAACAGCTCTGCTCGAACTCAGACCCAGCACTCCCAAGTGCAGACATCTCCACCGCTGTGCCTTGTTTGTCTGCGAGCATTGCTAATTGTCACTAAATGCACACACAACACCTATCCCATTGAATACCTTTCCTACAGGGGCTAGGTCCACACAGCAATGACAAAAATCACCCTGCCTCAGTGCCCCTATCAAGCTCCCAGCAGCTCCCTGTTGCCAGTGCCCAAATCCCATTGATAAGTCAGAGTTGTGCTATTCCTCACTGCTTAACCCAAGGTATAGCAAACATTAAATGGTATGTTACATCCTAGGGCCAGATCTGCAGGCAGAACTGCTGGGGATGGATAAAACTGGAGCTAAAGGTCCAAGCATGGCTCTGCCAGTAGACAAAAATGCACTTAGTTACTTTCTTCTCTCTCTCTCTTTCAATTTTGAGAAATAAAAACAAGAAGGCAGCAAGCCAGGAACAACAGGTGGTTTTTTTTTTAAACCCTCAACCCTGCTGTGGCAGGAAGACTGGTGCCTGTGGCTGTGACACAGCCTAGAGAGCAGCTTCCTGGCAGCATGGGCACACTGCTCCCCTCACCTCAGAGCTGCCTCCTAAAAGCAAGATGAAAAAATTTCCCTGGCTGAACCTGGGCAACAGCACAGGTGTGTGGAGAAGAGAGAAGAGGCAGCTGTAGCTGACTGACTGGCCCATTTCAACACTCAGCAGCAGAGGCTGCTCATTGAAGGAGAAGGCAGACAGGAGGTTCTGTGCATGTAAGTGTCCTCCACCCACCCTTGGGCAGCAGTAACACTGACTCAGATCACAGAGGAAACAGGTGGCCATCTCCCAGATCTGTATGACCGTTGTGTTTTCTAGGAGGTCTTTCACACACTTAAAGAGAAGATTAAAAAATCCATTGTAATGATAAGGCCGAAGACAAGGCCGTTGATTTTCTTGGTATTCGTTTTCTTCAAAATACTGTTAGTGCAGCAGCAGCTGTGGTGACAATCTCTGCAGGCATCTGCTCCCAGACATTCTGGTTTTGCTGGTGCCCTTTGGGCTTGCAGGTGCTGGCTGGGGTCAGCACTGAGGTGGGACCAGGACTGCTCTGAGGGAACCTCCATAAACTGTTGGCTCCCAACCTGTAAGTAGCTAACTTGTATCCCCACCAACCCACACAAGCTTTTGGAGGCTTTCCCAATAACCCTAGGGATTTCTTTTTCATTAAAAAGACAGTTTTAACTTTTTCATTCTCAGAAACTACCAAGCAAGTCTGATGTGCTCTGTGCCACAGAAGCTGTGTTCTTGTCAAAACACAAGAACATAATCCCATAATCCAGGTTAGTTTCTGATTTCTCTAGTCCCTTTGTCCATAATCATTACTTCAGTTTAATCCAAAATATTGAATCATAAAAGCACTTTTGACCTGGCAAACTTGGGGGTCTCATGTTCTTTCAGTACACTGGAGACCCCTTACCACCTCTAAAAAGAAAAGCCCATAAGGAGACAGAGGATGAGATTGCTGAGTCTAAGAACAGCAAAGGCCTCTTGTCCAACTTGAGACCAGCCAACATTTTCTGAACAAGAAGTGTGATCAAGTCTGCTTGTTTCTAAACCACTTTTGGAGGAAATTCTTGCTATTCTCAAGAATTCCCACGGCAAGCAACACCTGCTGGATGGGGAGAAGATCAAACCAGCTGAGGTTTCAAATGGTTTTACTCTTACTGCATTTCCTCACAAAAACCCCAAGGAAAAGTTTCTTGCCCTATTTTTGAGTAAGTCACTTTGTCATATTTATGAGACCACACATCAATACATAGCAGGCTGGTCTGCAGAAAAACCCATGAATTTCAACTAAATATCTAATTTCTGCTTAAAAGACCAAGTTTTATTTGTGTGTAATCCTTCTTGAGTCAGATGATCCTCACAGGCTTTTCGACTGACTCCTTCCAACACATTTAATGACAATTTTTTGTTCTGCCCATGGCCAAGATTTCACCCCATCTTTCTTTACACAGCAGAGCAGCTCCAGCCAGGCAGAATGAAAGACTGATTGTTACTGACATGGCAGGGGACAGTCTGTGGATGTGAAAAACATACTCCGTTTGTGCACAATTTTTGACCTCCTCACAAAACCACAAGCTGCTGCTTGGCAACAAGCATTACATTTTTACTGACATTTTGTGCCAACCCTTTAACCCGCTCCTAAGAAGCCTGAAGCTTATCTTGCATGAAATGCTCCCCAAAGTGCTAGGATAATGTTTAGCCCATTGTACAAACTGTGTCTCTGCCCAGCATGCTTATCAGCTGAATCGGGGCATTTGCTTCCCGTTGTTTCCAGAAGTTTGGTCATGCTGTGTGTCTGAACCACCAGACTGAGAGTTACGCAGCCCGGGGAAAACAGCAAGAACTGAACTGAAAAAAACAATTAAAAAAAAAAAAAAAAAACTGTAGGCTGGCTTGTTGAGCACAGTTCCCTGTATTTTAGGCGATTCTAGCACAACAGATGAAAATTTCAGAGTGTCAAAAGGCAGCAAGTTTAAATGTTTCTGCAGGATTGTTTCTGCTGCTCAAGGAAACACTCCTCTTTCTACTGAGATGGCAGGTCCCATGCTCCAGCCACGCACATACATAATGAGCCCACCTGAAAGTCAAGCACTTCAGTCCCTCTACCCCTCCATCTGCCCTGATAACCAAAGCACGAAGACAACTCATGCCTTGACAAGATTATGAACTTAACCAGCTCATGATTCAAACCTTTAAAACAACATATATCATTTCCTGGAAATGCACTCCTAAAGGTGTGCAGAGCTACAGGCAAGTGCATAAGACTTGGACTAATTTTCATGTGTTTTTGGCAAGAGTACTGACACAGTCCTCCTTAGATGGGGGCAAGAATAAGCGTGTTTGCTGTAGATCTGACTGAGAAAAGTGAAGCACAAATGTTTTTATCTATTGTCTGAATACAAAGCAGCATGTGGTAATACACTAATAAGGTCTGATGATAATGATCTTACAATTTATATTGTAGTTTATTTTGAAGGAGCCAAGAAAAGGATCCATACCCTAAGCTGACAAATGCCGTCAGGGCTCTGCTTTAGTCACTGGAAGGAGGCTGACTTATACAACCATCTTCATACACACTGGCAAGACTGGTGGCCTGACAGCACAAACCAATAATGCTGAGACAGTCAGAAATGTGGCTACTTCTGAGGTAGGTGGATGGGAAGAAAAAAGAAACATTGGTCCAAGGGTATCACTGAAGCTGAGCCTCCTCAGCAAAAAAAATATTTTCTTTTAGGAGGCAGAATAAACTGCATAAAATCCCATTTACCTGTCTGGACATGGAAGTGGAGTGGGAGGGCTGAGCTATCCCCTTGGAGCAGCCAAGTAACATGAAAACACCAAATTCATTTTAGTTTGTATGACTGGCCCACAAAATGTAGGTAGTGTATCTAATCCCCACCCTCATTACAAAACTTGCCCTGAATGCAAGTGGGTGAATGGAAGCACAGCTTCTGAGCAGAGTTGTGGCCACATAATAATAAAAATGAAAATGGACCCCAGATAACTGATATTTGATGCGCTGGTACCCCTCTCCCTGGTTTCTGCTCTGCTGTCCTGGAGGCTGAGCTCCCAGGGCAAGGCCTTTACAGAAGGTCAGCGAGCTGAGAACCAAGCCCTGGATTGGTAGGGGAGGTTTGTGCAATTAAAAACACTGGCTCCCTGACTGGGAAGACCAGCATGACAGTGATTTACAGTCTCCATGGCAACGTGCAACACAAATTGCTTAATTCTGTTATGAAACCTCCAGGAAAAGCTACAGCAGGGCTGTGTGAGAACTACCAAGCTCTCTCCTCCTCTGCTGCAGCTCTCCAAAGCAGAGAACTTTAGGGAGCCGATGCCCACCTCAGCAATAGGCCATGATTAGCACATACTAATGTACAAGCAGGGGTGCTGATGATTCCATCAACCCATGGCCAAGGCGATTTTCCTATCCTCAGCTCATTTTGGTCTATGGCTCCTCACCCATGGCCTGACAGAGCTCTGCATACCTGAGGATGCCAATCTCACCTGAGGAAGACCGTCAGCCACCGAGGCTGCCAACTACTCCTACAGCTGCAATTAAGAACTCTTCCTCTACCCACAGCTCACTTGATTACACCCTTTTACCCAGCCACTTTGTAAGCATTAGCAGCTCCATGCAGTGCCTGCAGGGCTGAAACTCTGCAAAATCTGAACACTTCCCTCTCTGTTCCTCTTGCAGGCTGCTGGCTGCAGCCGCACAGCCACCATGACACACCCAGAGACGTTAGCCAGGTACCAAAATAGTTCAGCATGATGTGTTGTAGGCAATCCCTTGGGCTGGGAACAACTAAGAATCCTTGAAAGACAGGACATGCCCTTTTAGGAGGCTGCTGCTTCCCTTGAGTCATGCTGACCTGGACTGAATGAACTTCAGGAATTTCTCCCTCAAGTAGGCATGACCATGTCCCAAGCCATCAAGTGCCAAAGGACTTGTAGGTGTATGAAAAAACATGCCAATTATTATTAAATAAAGACGATTAACTCTTAGCCAAGTTTTCTCCAGTCTGTCAGATTTCCTTCCCAGCCAATGTCTCAGAAAGGACACACTGAACAAAAGCTGGACTGTGTTCTAGTCTTCAGTGGGAAGTCAGCATGGAACAGATCTGTCATGTGGGAAGCCAGAGTCTGATGCCCTTTGTAGCTCTGGCAGTAAGGTTTTTCAAAACACAAGTGAAATTTCAAGTCTCTGAGGATTTCTAAGAAGGCATATTCTAACAGGTGCTCCCAACAGCTTCCGAAACTGATGGAGCCCAGCACCTGGTAAGACCTGCACA